TTGCAAAACTAGGACCAAAAGGCAAACTTCTGGATTTCCAATACAGCGGCTCCAAGACACCAAATTGCTCTCCCTTACAAGCAAATAGAATTCAGGGGTCCGGGAATTATTCTTGCCTAAGATCTAACCAAATATGAATGTAATAGTCTTTTTTTTGAAGCAACTTGTTCCTGAAATGACACGAAAGTAACAACAGGGAGAAATGTGTTTTCCAGAAAACTTTAATATTGAAAATAAAATGTCTTCAGAACGAAAATCTGATGTATTGGGATTCTCATTGTGAGATATTTGTAATCACTGACACTTAAAATTCCAAGGACCACAGTGGAAAACGAAAAATTAAAAAATAAATAAATAAAAAGAAACCTCGGTTCCATTTATAAACCCATCCTCCACAAACACGCCCACAACTTCTCACATAGCATCAGGGACAGAAATGTGTGTATATATATAAACGTCATTTTTTTATGAAATAGCAATTTGAATTGGAATCAGTGATTTCACATCAAACCGCAAATGACCATGAATTCTGGGCACTTGGGAGATGATACGAGATCAGTGAGGGCAAAGACTTCCACATGTCCTCTGTTGAGACTTGAATGATGTGGCTCCTCTATAAATAGCCCCTTAATAGGGACAGCGGAGAGATCAAGTATGAATTTGTAGGCCTCAGGTAATCATTTCAGAAAATTTCCCTTATAACAAGACTTAATCCCTTATATCTATATACACCTCACAATGTCTCACGTGCTTTCAAGTTATTTATCCTGTGCGGTTAGAAAAGCAACTATTATTGCCTATGTTACAGATCTACGGTGGCTTCTCTGGGTGAAGTCATTTGCTTAGGTGTCTCAAGGTTAGGCTTTGGTGCAGCCTCTTGTCAGCCTGGTTTGAAGGCCCACCGGGCTGTATCTCAATGAGAATTGTTTCTTTGAAGAGTCCCAAGTGGCAGCTTAGCCTTGAAAAGAAAAGAAAGGTGCCTGTTCTCTCTGTCCCTTCCTGGCCCTGGGCTTTGCTGGGAAGTGCTTCGCGACACATTTTCGCCCCCTGGGCAATTCTTCTTTGAGGCAGGCTACTGATACAGAGAGATGGCAGCTTCAGGGACTGTGCTCCAAGGACCTGTAAAGGAGTGGAAGAAGTTATTTTTGAGCAAGCAGCAGGGACCAGGCTCAGTTAGTGGAAAGCCCCTGTCCCCAGCCCCCAGTTGTATCTTCTGTCACTTCACCCTGCCCTCCCCGCACAGAACTTTTCTCAGCCGTAACTGGACATTGGCTACGTGAATTCATGCCCCTGTCTCCGCTAGATGATAAGCTCCAAGAGGGCAGGGATCCTGTGCTTTGTACACCGGTGCGTACCCAGGTCCGGGCACGGTGCTTGGAACAAAACGGGTGATCAACAAAGATCAGGGAGATAAATGTGCACTTGGGAAATGTGAGGCCAAGGAGCTCGAACAGGGCCGGAGCTTCCGTCCCCGCGCCGCGGGCAGGTGTGGCTCCCCGGCGATGGAGGCTGCGGGGCGAGTCCTCCCTCGCCCTTCCACCCCGCGAGCGGGCGGCGCGCAGTCTGTCCCTAGGGCGGCGGCGGGGACCTGAGCGGCCCTCCGAGCGCAGGTGCAGGTCGTCAGGGCGAAGGCCTCGTGGGGGCGCACGGAGAGCCCCCAGCCGCAGCCATTTCCTGCTCTTTGTTGTGACAGGCGGCGAGCGGCGTCAGGGCCGGGCTGGTCGGGGGCGCGGGCGGGCGGGGGGCGGGGCGGGCGCAGGGCCGGCGCGCGGCGAGCCCGCAGAGCATCCTGCGCCCCGGCGCGGGGCACTGCCGTCGCCTCGGGCCCCTCCCCTGGACCTGCCGCAGACCCAGGTAAGCGGCGCTCGCAGGCCTCGGCCGGGCGCGGGGGCCGCGATGCCGCTGGGGACGCGGCCGTGAGGATGCGCCAGGGCCGAGGCTGCGCTCCGCGTCCCCAGCCCGCGGGGGACGCTCGGCGGCGCGCCCGGCTACGCGCCTGGAGCCCCCGGAAGCCCCCAGAGGCCCGGCCTCCGCTCCGGGCCGCCCTGTGCCCGGCCGGCCGCTGAGCCCGGGCTGCGCGGTCGGCCGGCACCTCGCGGGAGTCGGGCGCCGTGGCCGCCGCGGCTGCAGCAGGTGCGCGGCCTGGGCCGGAGCCGCCGGCCGGAGAGGAGGCGGCGCTAATCTCGGGGACCGGAGACACCTGCAGCGGCTGCGAGCCCGGCGGCGGCGACATCCCCGCGTCCAGGTACTGCAGAGCACAGGCCCCCGCCTCTGTCGCCGCGGCCACCGTCACCTCCCCCGGCGCCCGCGAAAGCCGAGAGCCGCCCGGGCCGGCCTGGCCGCCGTCGCCGGCACACGGCGCCCTGCGGCGGACGCGAGCTGGGTGGGGCGAGGGACGCAGCGGCGAGGTTTGGGGGTGGAGGGCCTTGATGAGAGGGTTGGCACGTCTGACCCGCTTTGAAGCGTTCTGGCCCACACTGGCATCGCTCTCCCGGCTGGCTGGGGGCAGGGAGGAGGTGGGAGGAAGGGCATGAGTGGGCTGACTCCTGGGGGGCAAAGGTGGTGTTTTCTTGAGCTCTGAAGAATCAGGAAGATGCCTCTGTATCTGTCGTGGCTTCTGCTTTCAGGACGGCCCTGCCCTCCCGCCCCCAAGTACAGCCTACCTGTGTCCAAAGGAAGAGAGGAAGGTGCTCTCTGTTTGGGGATGGGAGCAGGTAGCATGGTGCGACAGAAGGATGGTTCTCTCTGCCACGACTCTGGCTGGAAAGGACACTGACTGCCTAGGTGCCCTCCCCCGCCCAGGGAATCTGACTTTGACCTTTGCCTGCCTGCTGTCCCCAGCACAGTGGAATCACCCGCCGGGAGGTGATGAGCCATCAGCTGCAATTGCAGGGAAGCCGGGAATGGAGCAAGGATGTTTTCCTGCTAGCTCCTGGGTGCTCTCAGTGTGGGCACGGAGACTGGGGCAGTCCCGCAGGCACGATGGGCAACACAGGAGAGCGTTGCTTCCCGTGTTCTCATTTTCCACCTCCTGCCTGTGTCCCATTTAGGGCAGTGGGTCTCACCTTACTTACACTTGGGCACAGGCTGTGCCAGCAGCCCTGGGGCTCTCAGCTCTTGGAAGTCCATATCCGTGGGCAGGCGTGTGAAGGCCTAGAAAGTGGTTTTCTCCACCATCAGACCCCCTCTCTGTGCCCCCCCCCAGGCCTCCCACCTCCACTTCCATCACAGGGCCCCACCCTTCCCACATTCTCCAGTGTCAAAACTGTTTTCAGGAAAGGAGCCAGTGAACGTGTTTATCTTGAAGAGTAGCTAAAATGCAAAATGGGAATACAAAAGAATTTCCCATTTGATGCGGAGCAGGTGCTTTAGAAGTCACTTGAAACGGGATGGAGGCATTTTAATGGGAAACAATAGAAATATTTGCTGTCTCTAATGGTGGGATTTCAGATAGTGGGCTGGACGTGGGAGTGGAGCGCTGGGGAGCTCTTTTGGGGAACAGCTCCCTGAAATGACAGTATCTAGCAGCTGACAGTTCTGTATTTGGCAAGGGCAGCTTTGGCTCTGAGGGCAGGAATACTGTAGGGGTGTACACCTGTGTCTGTGTGTGTAATGGTCAGGGGTTGCTGTCACTAAAGGTGGGTGCATTTGTTGAGCACCCAGTGTCCACTTGTGGGATGTGACACTTTTGCACGGAGTGTTGCTCCTTAGCATTGGCTGCCATCTGCCAGGGCAGTTACTAGGCCGCGAGAAGAGTCGTGTTGTTGCTTACAAAGCCAGCGCCTCTAGCTAGTTGTGCACACTGAGCCTCTGGCTGGGGGCATTAGCTCCCTGCTCACTAAGCTGCTTTATTATATTTCCTGGCTAGTTTCGACCGGTTCTGTAGGCACCCAAGGCTGCCTTGTTCAGTCCCAGCTGGAAAATGAAAAGGGAAAAACTTGCTTTAGGCGTTAGGCCAAGAGTGGGGTATACAGCCCAGTAGGGTTGGAGAGTTCACCTCAAATCGAATCAGAGGCTGGCCCAGAGAAAGGAGGAGACATGAATTTAAAAAAGAAAACAGTAAAAGGCCCCAGGAGAACACTACACGTCCCTTCTGATAAATCGTACCTTCTCGGGCGTTCCGTGGGCCTCTGCTACTGTCATTGACCAGAAAGCCAAATTGGGTGATGAATAGGCAACAAGCTAATTAACATTGGGAACGGTGCTCCCGGAACATGGTGCAGGGCTGCAGTCCCCACGTTTAGGGATCGGACTGCCCTCTCAAAGAGGCTTCTTTGGACCACTGTTGGCCCCAGGGGCCACCAAGAGCTGCACAAAATGGGCTTTTGTAGCCTTCATGTGGCCACCGTAACAATGAGTCTATTTCTTTGCTGGCAAGTATTAATTATTCACTTGTAGTGGACGAATCCAGACATCAGTCACCTCATTGGAGTCTTTGTGAAAGGCCTTTGGTCTTGTCATTCGGAGGAGCTAAGCCATGTCTGGGGGCCAGAGGATGGCAGGAGGGGCTGGCTCATGCCACTGCCTCAAGAGACCAGCTGCGATGGGGAGGGGGAGCTAGAACATCTTCGGAGGTTCTTATTAACTGAAAGACACATGAAAGTGACGAGCAGAGTGCTTAGCACATAGTAAGTACTGTTACACTTTTATTTATTGTTATAATGTATTAATTACATAAGCATTAAGAATTTGGCTCATGTGTATATAGCCAGCCCCTAGCTCTCACCAACCCCTATACTTCCAGAGCTTTCCTGGATTTTGCTTTTGGGAGGGGAGTTGGTCTCTGGGACCAATAAACTGAGCCCCAGGTTTGCCTGCCAAAGGAAACGAAAGGAAAGAATGACAAGACGTGGTGTCAGAGGGGTTTCAGGTGGGAAGTGCTCTTGAGTAGCAGCGTCAGGTGGGTAGAACCTGAGTAGGCAGGGAGAAGGGGGAGGGAATAGGCCGAGCAAAAGCCCAGAGCAATCATCCTGGGCCGGGGGAGGACCTCTTCCTCCGTGTATATATATTCAGCATTTTGCAGCCAGCCAAAGATGTCGAGGCGTGCTCTGCTTCCCAAGGCAGACAGAGCAGGGCAGGGGACTTAGGACACAGGATTTATCCCTGGCTTGCTGTGTGCCTTGAAACCAGCTGCAACCACTCTGATTTTAAAAACTGAGCCACGGAAAGCAGTCTGCTCAGCTTGTCACCTGCCTGTCGTCAGGGGAGCCCACGGATGAGATAATGTCTGTTAATCCCAGTCCAAGTAGAAAAGGCCATGGAAACAGAGGAGGCTCCTGAATGTTGGCTCTGTGGGGTGAGTGGCCTCCATTCCCGAAGGGACAGTTTGTTAATGAGGTATCGTGTGGCGGTTTAGGAAGACGGATCTGTGGGCTCTCTGTCCCCGCAGAGACACTTCAGAATTCAGTCAGTGGGTGTGGGACGCCGCCCAGGACACAGAGTTTGGATATTGGCTTTCCCAGTCGTGGCCGTTACCCCGGGGGCTGTGTGTGACCTGCCATACTTCTTGGGCCTTGACCACAGGGGGGAACAAAACAAACTGGGGACAAATTCTTGAAAGAAGCTGTTTTGGGAAGGCAGAGCTGGAGTTCAGGCCGAGTTTCTCACAGAGATCATTCTGGTTGAGTGGCATTTCGATAGACTTAGGGCAACTCCGAAACAGCACACCTGAGAGAGGCGCAGTGATGACGTCAGCAGGAGGCGTTTGGCCTGTTGTTTACGTCGTCGTCGTTCGGTCCTTGTAGAGCAGTGGTTCTCAGGCTTTCACCTCCAGGGGGAACAGAGGGATGTTTAGCGTGTCCGCGTTAGGCGGTCTGTGTTTTCTCAGTGAGGTGGGAGGCGAGGTCCTCTGCAGCAAGTAAGTTAGGAAACTTCAGGAGACTTCCGGGGCTAGGAACAGCTGCCCCTGTGGGTGGAATAAGAAATCAGCTGAGGGTGAATGAGAGAATTGTCTGACTTCGCCGAAGACCCAGCTGCGATCAAAGAGGATCTGCAGGCGTGAGCCTCAGAGAAGACACTCAGTAACTCAGTGTTAAGGGACACCTGAGAACTATTCGCGCTTTTCAAATGTGATGCTTGAAGGCCGATTTTGGCGAGGTATGAATGGTGAGACAGGAACTCAAACTGGGGGTCGCGCCCTCAGCCTCCAGGTCTGTTGTATCTCCATATGGGACAGAGAATTGAGGGCCTGTTTCTTATGGCATGAGGTGGAAACTGTATGGCAGAAGAATTTTCTGAGCAGTCTCCTCAGATTCTCATAGTAGTAAGACTGGGTTCGGGGCCTTAGAGAACTATGATGTTTCAACTTCTTCCTCTTTTTTTTTTTTAAACCAGAAGACATGTATTTTGGTCCCTGGCTCATGCATTCAACAAGTCATTCCTGAAGTTCTAATCAAGTAATGCCTGGTATGTACCCAGCTCTGTGCTGGTTGCTATGGGTCAAACCCAGGAAAGATGACTGTCCCTGGCATCCTCGGTGATCCAAAGAATTAGCAAAGTCAAAGTTCATAATGCAGTAGGAAATTGTGAACTCTAGACTGAGTACTATGGGAATTCAGAGAAATGAAAGTTATCGATGGGTTTGGTGGGTCAGGCCGTTGTGGAAGAGGCATATCTTGGCTTGGGCCTTGACAGATGGTTGGTAGGATTTGAGAAGAGGAAAGGACAGTCCACAAGCGAGTAGAGGTAGTTTGAGCAAAGGCACAAAGCAAGAATGTCCTCACACAGGTTTCCGATGCCCCCGTATATCTTGGCCACAGTGGATGGTCCACATGGTCCTTAAAGTGTGGTCTTTAGGGAAGCCCTTTAGATGGAATGTCCCAACTGTAGTTACAGCCATTTGCTTTAGAGTTGAAAGGGCCCTGAGAGAAGTTCAAGTCTAGTGATTCTTACCTGGTTGGTTTTGTTGTTGTTTAGTACACGAGGGACAATATTGACAAGCTCAACACATTACACTCTGCAGCCACCCCTCAGCTCCACCCCATTGATGAACATGCAAGCAACGATATTATGGGGGACCCTTGAACCCTTGCCTCACAAATAATACAAAGTACTTGTTTGCAAATGTCAGTATCTAAACTGTTATTACCATACGTTACCTACAAAAGCCTTCACAATGCAGGTTTTGCCATCGTGGTTGAGAGAGAACCGTTACCAGGCCAACCTCCCTATTTGACAGAAAGAGAAATTTACCCCTTTAGAGGGAGTGAAAATGTGATTTTGGGTTTTAGGCTGAGCCGTATTCGAATTGCAGTTTCATGCTGATGAAGCAGAGGTCTGCCTGTTCCAATCTGATGGCCAGACCAGAAGCCTCGCTCTTTGTCTCCACAGCAGGCTCAGTGGCTTCCCTTTCTGAGTTTTAGCAGGTGCCTCTGAGGGGCAGCTCCTCTCTCGGGGTCACAAGTCACTTTGGTGGCCCTCACGTGATGGCCTGTCAGGGCCCCAACAGGAGCAAATCAGCAAGCCACCTTGCGTGGCGTGGCCTTCCCTCCTAAGAGGGCGAGGGCCAGCCCCTGAGCTGCTGGCGTCTGCGCGGTTTCGCCGGAAGGGCTTCCTCAACCCTGCCAACACAGGAAGCACCTGAGCAGAACGGCAGATGAAGCGGCAAGGCCCCTCGCCCCGCCAAGAGCTCTTTCTCTGCCTCTTCCTAAACAACCGGGAGGGTAGGCCTTCTCCCCCGCTCGAGTTGAGGCTGACTTGGATTTCTCTGCTCTGACCGCAGGTCCCCTGTGTGCAGAGGGGCTGCAGGTGACGGGGCCTCTGGTCCCAGATGACAGGCAGTGAGGGACTGAAACAGTAAAGACTGCCTTGCCAGGCGGTGCCGTGTACCAGCCAGCTGCCTGAGCTGCTAGCAAGGAGGCCTGGGGTTGTTGTCTTTTGAGGTAAATTATTAAACTTTGATCAAAGCAATGCATGCACATGCTTTTTTAAAAAGCAAGTAGCATTGAAAGACTCCATAAAAAACAACCACCACCACCCAGTGCCCACCTTCCCCTAGAGGCTGCTGTTTCTTCTAGCAGCTGCCTTCAGGTCGCCAAGGGAGATGCTTGCACTGCTGTTTCTCGATTTATCTATTCTGCACATAGTCTGTTTACTTCCTGCTGCGATGGATGACGATTTCTTACATCATCTCATTTCTCACTCCCCTGCCCCCATATCCCAATTTAGGACAAGCTCTCTTTTACCCTAAACCGTGTTTAAAGCATCTGCATTATTAAGATGTGTAAATGATGATCACAAGAAGGCCGAGTCATGTCCTTTGATTGCATTTCCTTTCTTGTATGGCTTTTTGTTTTTTTTGAGACAGGCTTTCGCTTTGTTGCCCAGGCTAGAGTGAGTGCCATGGCGTCAGCCTAGCTCACAGCAACCTCAAACTCCTGGGCTCAAGCAATCCTGCTGCCTCAGCCTCCCAAGTAGCTGGGACTACAGGCATGCGCCACCATGCCCGGCTAATTTTTTCTATATGTATTAGTTGGCCAATTAATTTTTTTCTATTTATAGTAGAGACAGGGGTCTTGCTCTTGCTCAGGCTGGTTTCGAACTCCTGACCTTGAGCAATCTTCCTGCCTCGGCCTCCTAGAGTGCTAGGATTACAGGCGTGAGCCACCGAGCCCATCCCTGGATTTTTGTTTTGTTGCAGAGTTAGAGCTTTCTTTCTTAAAAATATTCCTCTTTTTCTTTCTAGCTCTGTCCTATCAGTTGTTGCATTGTGTTCCCTTGTCATCTCAGGAAGTTGCATTGCTAGCCCCAGCTCTGTCCCTAACCAGCCAAGTGACCGTGCACAAGTCCCTTCTCTTCTCCAGGCGCGGTTTCCTCATCAATAGGAACAGAGCTGGACTCCCTTCTTGTTTCATTCTAAACCTCAGAGCCCCAAACCCCACCCACCTCAAAGGGTTTTATCATCAGAGAAGACTTTTCTGCAGGGTGGGGCAGTCCCAGGACCTGACAGATCGCAGCAAAACAAAAACAGCCATTGGGAGGGACCAAGCAGGCTAGTTTGGGCCCTGCTGAGTGGTGGTTCATTTCACCCCTGCAGTTCACAGGGCCACTCAGTGGGGTAGCATGGGTGTGTCTGTGGCTCTGTCTTTCTCTCCCACTGTCCCCTGTTGATTTGTGCTCACCACAGCCTCTGCTTGTAGGGGTGGCGTCATAATCCCCAAACTCCCCCAGCTCCTGCTCCACCTCCAGCTCTCTGTGTACCCCTCTTGCTTATATTATAGCCCACGTTTCCTCAAAGTAGTTATAATAATACTAACATTTTCTGCCAATAGCTTTATTGAGATACGGTTCACATGCTGTACAATTTTCCTATTTTAAACATACAGTTCACTGATTTTTAGTATGTTTGCAGAGTTGTGCAACTGTAATCACAGTTGATTTTAGAACACCCCAGAAAGAAAACTCATGCCCTTTAGCAGTGGCACCTGTTTCCTCCAACCCCCAGCAGCCCTAGGCAGCCACTAACCTACTTAATAGCTCCATAGATTTGCCTATTCCAGTCTTGTTGTGTAAATGGAATCATACAACATGGGGTCTTTTGTGACTGGTTTCTTTCACTTAGCGTAATATTTTCAAGGCTCATCCATGTTGTAGCAAGTGTCAGTACTTCATTCCTTTTTATGGCTGAATAATATTCCAGTGTGTGAATATACCACATTTTATTTATTGATTTATCAGTTGATAGACATTTGAGTTATTCCACTTTTTGGCTATTAACAAATAATACTGCTATGAACATCCATGTACAAGTTTTTGCGTGGACATACGTGTCCATTTCTCTTAGGGTTATGCCTAGAAATAGAGTTGGCTGGGTCATATGGTAACTCTGTGGGTAAAAAAATTTGAGGGACTGCCAGTCTTTTTTCCAAAGTTGCTGCACTATTTTGTATTCCCACTAGCAATGGTATTAGTAATTTCTCCACATCCTCACCTTGTGATTCTTGGTCCTTTTTATTATGGCCATAGTAATGAGTATGAAGTGGTATCATGTAGTTTTGATTTGCATTTCCCTGACAACTAAATATATTAATCTTTTCATGTGCTTATTGGCTATTTATATATCTTCTTCAGAGAAAAGTCTGTTCAGATCCTTTGGCTATTTTTAAAATTGAGTAATTTGTCTTTTTAGTAAAAGGTGAAGGATTTGTATGATCTGAAGAGAAACCAGAATATTTGTCTTTTTATTGAATTTTAAGAATTCTTTATTGCATATGCCTAGCATATATATGATTTGAAAATATTTTTTCCATTTTGTGGATTGTCTTTCACTTTCTCAGTGTTGTCCTTTGAAGCATAAAT